GTGATGAATGCCACTGAGGCATGCGCCTGATATTTCGGTACATTAGGCCTACCACCTATAGTACGGTATCTTGTTATACTACAATAATGGCGATGATATAAAACATAAGTAGCAGTACTAGAATGATGAAAATTATAATGTGCTAGTTAGCTTCATACATGAAAGAATTTTAAACAATTTCATTTTTTTAAGATAAATTGTTAATATCAACAGTTATCAAAGATTATTTCATTCTTCTATTAGTCTTACGTTTAGGGACAAACTTTGAAAATAGCCTCAAGGAAATTGGTTTTCAAATTTCGAATAAAAATACCATCATGATCACTTCATGCAATGCCTGGATGAGGAGTGCCAGAATGTTGCAATTATTTGTTTAAATATGATAAATTAATGTACCATTAATGCTATGTTCATTTCGTCTTCTTGCAAAGAAGAGACCATATGATTAAAATTTGAAATATCTAAAATGCTAGAGAGTTGTGTTTGTAAATTCCACGTTGTAAGGTAATATTGCACTCATAATAAATGTTAAAATGTTTATGAGAGACAATGTCGAAAGCTTTGGAAAAATCTAAATAAAGCATGTCAACCTGGCCATCTTTGTCCAGCATTGAACTAATTTCTTGAATAACAGTAAGAAGTGTGTCAGTGGACTGACCTTTTGTAACTTTCATCACGAACAATTGGAAAATTAACAATAATTCTCAATGATGCGACACAATTCTCAATGCGACGTTTTAAAAAAACTAAACAAAAACTTGAACAGAATTCAATTCAAGCCGATCTAAGGGGGTTTTTTTTAGAGAAAATTCCCCTAAACTTTTTTCTCCTTAAAATAGATATATCTTATGTGTTGACTCCCTTTATAGTTCTGATTTTATTTGTTTAATTATTTGGTCTCCATTTTAGCTCTAGAAGGTTACGGATCTCTCAAGTGTTTAATATTCCTTTCAGCTATGTTAATGCTTGTAAACTTACTTTAATTTCACGATTATTATCTTTTTATATAATTCACATGTTTTAAAGAATGGCGATATCGATATTTTGTATAATACCAAGTATCTCTAAAAATTTTATTGTACGTAACATGTATATGCAATAATATATATTGATATTTTCAATTCTACATATATTTTTATATTGTTATATTTTAATCATCCAGTAAATGGCGATGTATCGATGTTGGTGTGGTAATGAATAGAATGAAAATAAATTTAAAATAGAGCATAAAGGAGGAGCAATCTGTTGAGCACATTCCCTTGTAACAATTTGGAGAAAAAGGTTGCTTGTTTTTGCATTTGACCATTAATACTATCTACTATCTGAACTTTAAGCAAGAAATGCTCAAAATGAATACAATAAGAAGAACGTAAGTTCACTTAGTATATTTAATACACCGCTCAATGAGTCGTCATGGATTTACCAATAGACAAATTGATGAAATTTCATCTACACCAAGTCTTACATTTTACAAGATGAGTTGCCCATGATTAGCACCTGGTTTACTGCTAATAAGCTTCTTGTAAATACTACAAAAACAAGTTATGTTTTATTTCATAGCCGTCAAAAAAAGATTAAGCTAGATAAAGATAATCGTAATATTTATCTCAATGATATTATTATTGAAAGGAAATATGAAACTTTTTTTCTAGGTGTCGTAATTCATGAAAACTTATTATGGTCATCTAGTCATCATAAATATATTGCAAATAGAATTTCTAAATCGATAGGTGTTATTGATAAACTCAAATATTTTTTTCCGCAACGTATCTTATTTACCTTATATAACTCACTTGCTCCCTTATTTATAGTATTGCAATATTGTATGGGCAGCCGACTATCCAACCAATCTTGATAAATTACTTAAGTTACAGAAACGTATTATACGTATTATATCCTTATTCCCCATTGATTCTCCGTCCGAACCTTTATTTAAGAAATTAAATATTCTTAATATTTATGATCTTCACAAAATCCAAATTTCCTCTTTCATGTTTAAATATGTCAATGGACTATTACCTTCATCGATTTCTAATTCATTACCAAATATCTCTAATTCACCTAGATATAATTTAAGAAAACCTCATAAAATTGATGTACCGTTTCTAGATTAACTAAAACAAATCTTTTTATTACTATAACTGGCCCTAATTTATGGAATGAATTGGATGATCAACTAATAAATTGTAATAATTTACTAACTTTTAGAAATCGTATGAAAAAAAATGTATATTTTTAATTATTCTGACCAGTAATGTTTTATAATTATGGTTTGTGCTATTATAGGTCTTGATTTATTCATGTGTATTATAGTGTAGTGTATATCTATTTGATTAATTTATCTTAATTATTATTATTTTTATTATTATTATTTTTTTCTTTTGAATGGGTCAGTTTGAAACAAGCTGATGCTTCTAGACCTGATCCAAACCATAATTTCAATATCTATTATTTTGTTCTTAACAAATGTGATTGACGTTAATTTTCATATTTTTCACTCAAATTTATTATATTTTATGATTATGTTATGGTTAAATAAACGTTGAAGAAATTAAAAAAAATTGAAATTGATCTTTATATTCGTTTCTTATGTATGGTTTATTTAAAGATGTTTAGATAGAGGCAACCCTCAAGTAATGAAGATCTGTTTTTTTTTCTTGTGTTTCTTGTTCCCGGGCATTAACTCTTTAAGGTGTGTATATGCTAAAATTGACAGTGCTAACACTTCTCCCCTTAAGGGAAAGAAAGATTTATGTAATAATATTTTTGATGAATATAAAGTAATACTTCTTACATAGATAATGCTAATAAGTAAAATTAATAAATTAATCAAGAGTCATGCACAACGAAGTGTACGTACGTTGCAAACTAAAATAGCAAAATCAAACAAAATATATGTATGATAAAATATATACGATCAAAATCTAATGTAACTATATTTAAAATGCAAGTCAAACAAATTATTAAAGTTTCAAACAGTAAACATATTAATAATTTCCATTTCACAATTTAGACTCGAAACAAGCATCAGGGAATAAACTCCACCTTATCAATCTTTGATTATTATTTTACATTTTATGTAAAAATGAAAGGAGATTATGATCACTGAAAACAGTTATGGGTTAGTGCTAAAATAAGAGCAATCAACTAATCCTTACCTACATTTACACCTCTCCCGCATACAGGTATGAAAATGAGTGAAAATTATAAACAGGTGGGACTATTACACGGGACCTCCGGTCCTACTTGATCACTGAAAACAGTTATGGGTTAGTGCTAAAAGAAGGGCAATCAACTCATTCTCAATCACGGAGTAATCCTTGTAATGATGATTGAATATCTTTAAGAAATAGCATACAGGAAGATCGATACTACCATCATTATCTCCCTGTATAAAAGACGCCCCAGTCCCAATATCACTAGCATCAACAGCTAATTTAAAATTAGTACTGTAATTTATTGCTGAAAGAAACGGTGTGCTTTTTAGTAGGGCTTTAAGTTTATCAAATATTTGTTGTTTAACCAAATAAACTACATTTGTCCTAAAAATGTTACAGAATCATGGCAAAATTTACTTTTAAATAAATTGACAGTCAAGTTTGCTTCTGTGAGCTTGGTCACTTTCCATTTTAGTATTTCTGCAATTTTGCCAGTAGGCTTCGGGGACTAATTGATAGGCCACTGTGGCTCTCTATTTTAATACATGAAATGAAGAACTTCGTTAACTTAACAGTGGGTGTAAGTTTCCCTATAGTTTTACTTGTGTAAGCTATTTTATGACTTCGCTCCTTATTCAACATAGCTCACATGACGTTCAAATGAACTACAAATTGTATTCCACCTCAAAAATAATTAACAAATTGATGGAGCAATCCATGAATCGAACAGCTTACTCGTAATAATAATCAGCATCCTTTAGAAGAGCAAGGTTACTTATAAAACCCTTTAAAAGTGTTGTTGAATCAGAGGGAGGCATAATTAATGCACGTAATTATGGTTCTATGATCTGAATCGAATTTAGATGTTATCGCGTTTAAGTCCAACGGATACATGCGTTTGTTGTTATCAACCTTTGAAATGTTTGCACATTTTTAACCGTTTTTTTTTACATTGTTTTATATAATCATTCTATGAACATTATCAAAGATTTTATTTTGAGACCCCAGACCGAGGCTCTATGCAGACCTATGGCTCAGACTTAACTGTTGGAGTTGTTGACCCCTTCCCCCGTTAGAAAATTGTGGGAGCCATCACTGAGATAGGTTAATAAATTTTGGTTGAGATGAATGAAAGACGCCGAACTTTAGACTAGTAGAAGCAAAGTTATATATATTTTTTAAATGACAAATTAATTATTGTTATGTATAGAGTAGCTTAATTTGGCATTTACTTCAATTAATTTACTATTACTTTATTTTTTACAAAACTTGGTGCTCAGGCTCCCTGAAAACCCCTTTTTAATACGCCACTTGTTCCCTTCGGTAAAGTAGAAAAACTTTTTAGTGCAGCGGCCGGGAAGCTTTTTGGGCCATGATCCAGATATGATAAGGGACCCGTGGTGTAGGGCACAACATTTAGTTTCTGTTTTCTATTGGGTTAAAGTGTAGTTGTATGTTAATACTCAATAAATAAAGAGGATTCATATAATTCTATAAAAAGTCTCATGAATTTTGTGCTCTTCGTAACAATGGAGTTAATTAATAATAATATCATAAAAGTTTTCTTTTTATATTTACTGCGCCCATCTGAATGTTGGCAAGTAATACGATATAAATTCTTAAGAAAGAAAGAATGACTTTATTATTAGGATTATCTTGTCGAAGACCCACTTGATTATATATAATACCAGAGTACACGGAAAGCCATACCATGTCATTTTAATAGCATTTGTATAATATGTGGTTAACAGTTTAAAGCTGAACATTATTATTATTATTATTATTATTATTATTATTATTATTATTATTATTATTATTATTAAGAGAAAAAAAAAAACTTACATTATTTGCCATATTTGCACCAGTTATTTAAAGCTTCTTCTATGTATTAACTACCAAGCACAAAATTTCCAACGGAGAACAAAACAGTTAGACGTACAAAATTCAAACCTCCTTCAACTTATAAACTTTGGTTGCCTTAGGATGTCAGTATTATACTATTAGATATTTCATTCGAAGCGGAACATGTGTCGTAATGCTTTAACAATATTGTTTTTTTTTGTGTGTGTATTACAATAGGCAGGGAATCCCCTACTCGTTACCTTCAGATTTCTACCACCGGGTTGGTCATGGAAGTTTATGCTAATTCATTGACTTAATTGTGAGAAAAGTTGAAGCATTGGAATTTGTTTGGGATTATTGACTCTATGCGTCAGCAGTTTACAAGCAATATCCTATTTCATCGTTGTACAATAATATCGTATATTCGAAGCGATTAATAGAGCTGCCTTTAGTACACTAGAAGAAAGTTATTATACAAAGGTTTAATGCTTGAACCATTTTCCTAAGGGCCTGCAAGGCCCGAAGGAAATTTTTTGAATGCAAATATATCCTACGTATAAAAAATTTTAAAATAAAATAAACAAACAAAAAGAGGTAAAAAAATTAGATCTTGAAATATAGAGTTCTATTGAATTAGACAATGCAAATAAAAAATAGGGTTCACTGCTGAGGTTGAGGGAGAAGCAGTTAAGTAACATAAAATGAGTGCGGTTTTTTCCATTTATACATACGATATGCTTATTATCAAACATGATATTAAGAAACAATATAGTGGAAAAATTAAAAAGAAAAAGAAAAAAAACGATTGAAATAAAAAAGATGAAACACAGATCTTAAAGTGTAGGGTTCTAATTAATATAGACAACCATGGAAAGAAAAAATTGAGATTTTTGTAATGTATATTGAAAGCAATTAAAAAAAAAACCATTATACAGTAAACTAAATTGGGTGCCGTCTTTTCCATCTATATGCTTGATTTATCCTTATTATCAAACATGATAGGTGGCAAAGACAAGCCAAACCAGTCACTCGTCGGAAAAATCAAATTTTAGTTATTAATACAGTGTTTAACAGTAAAATGAGAGCTATAAAATGGTAAAAGAATCATTTAAATCCGACACTTCGTTATGAAGTTACACGAGTTTAAACAAACAGCTGTTTAAAGAACAATATTTGAGAAATCAGCCTTCAAAGTTTACGATTTCAGGCATTTCTTAGGCAGAAACCATTACCAAATCGTTAAAAATTGTTGTTTCAACATTGAAAATGAGGAAAATAACAGCATAGCATGATGTATAGATATATAAAGGTTAGTTTAGTGCAATAAATTAGATTTCCAAAATTTCGAAATTCCAGCATGTTTTGGCCATTATCTCCAAAACAGGATTTGCGACGAGTGACTGGTTTGGCTTGTATTTGCCACAAATTAGGAAACAATACAGTGGAATTATTAAAAATAAATAAATAAAGTTAAAAAAAGAGAAGAAGAGTAAAATGGAGAAAAAGGGAAAAAGATCTTGAAGTAAAGATTTCTATTAGTATACAGTAGGCAATGGAAAGAAAAGGAAAAAAAATGTTCACTATTGGGGTCCAGGAACAAGCATTTAAATAACCTTAAAAAGGGTGCAGTTGTTCCATGTATAGGCTTGATTTATCCTTATTTTCAAACATGATATTAAGAAACAATATAGTGGAACAATTTAAAAATATAATAAAATAAATCAAAACGAAAAAATAAATTTAAAAAATAGATTTTAATGTATAGAGTCGTATGTAGGTCTATATTGACAATGAAAAGGGGAAAAACCAGTGTACACTGTCGGGGTACAGTAACATGCAGTTATGAAGCAACCTGTAATGGAATAATAAAATATAAATAAAACTAAAATTAAATAAAATAAGGAAAAAAATGTTTTCTATTTAGCTACAAAATCACCTGTTTAAGTGGTCAGATGTTCCCAGTGAAAAAATATAGATTTAAAAGTATAAAGTTCTATTATATGAATTGGGGAACAATTCGCTTCACGACTAAATAGAAAAATGGAGTAATATTCTGTGACTAATGAAGAAAAACGAGGAGTAAGAGGAAAGAATGTGAGAGGGAAAGGAAGAAGGGGAAAATACACTGTACATTTTTAAGGTTCAGGAACATGTATTGTTTTTTTTCTCTTTTTTTCATTTTTTCCTCGCCTTTGTTTACAAAATCTTCCCGTAGGATGTTCAAAATGAAAGATTTATTTTAATTAGTACAAAGTATGATGTGTTTTATTATTTTATTATTATTGTTATTATTATTATTATTATTATTATTATTATTATTATTTTTATTATTATTATTATTTAGAGGAAAAAACTCACATTATCTGTCATATCTGCATCAGGTGTTTTAAGTGCCAATGCCATCTATTCTGACAATAACGATAAATTACAGAGTGTTTATATTTATAAATATATTTTAAACGTTTATGTTAAAAAGATATTAATAATGAATTTAATGAAAAAGTATGAATAACAGTAATAGAGTTGAAACTATTAAAAATAGTATAGATAAAAAAACAAGTGAAATTAAAGATTTATACGATACTGAAGCGAAAGGTGCTCAAATCAAAATGGATTGAGGAAGGCGAAAGAAATACAATTTTGTTTTTCTTGGTCTGGAAAAGTCGAAAGGTAGATATAAACAACTTAAACTCAGGAGCCATAGCAACGAACTATGCCGACAGTTTAAGACAGCAATAACTCATTTTAAAACTCTTTATGCAAATAAGTCTATACCCGCTAAACAAATCAAAACGTACCTTGACAGTACTGAAAGTAACACACTTTCTTATGAGGAAAAGGAATTCTGTGAAGGTAGTCACCATTGATAAGTGCAAATCTGCGCTTGTAAAAATGAATAGAAACAAATCTCCAGGGTCTGATGAGCTTAACGTAGAGTTATAATTTCTTTTGGGAAGATATTAAGAAAATTGTCTTTAATGCAATAAATGAATCTTTGAGACGAAACGTTTATCATGCTCACAAAGACGTGAGGTGATTACTTTTTTATTTAAAGGAGGAGATAGACAAAAATTAAACAACTGGCATCCAATTACGCTTCCTAACACTGATTATAAAATGCTTGCTCATGTGCTTAGTAACAGGCTAAGGGTAGTTATAAAAACTTTAGTTAATACAGACCAAAAAGGGTATATTAAAGGACGTTTTCCTGGTGAGAATGTCCGTCTAATAGAAAGGGGCAATGTTGATTTTGGATTTCAAAAACGCGTTTGATTCAGTTAGCAGAGAGTTTATGTTTGAGGTTATTATAAAAAACATAATTTTGGAAATTGATTGAGGTCCTTTACAATGGTGTTGAATATGTCTCAGTTAACAATGGATGGGTTTCAGAAAGTATTATTATTGAAAGAGAGATAAGGCTGGGATATCCTTTATCAGCACTTCTCTTTATACTCGTTGTAGAAATTATGGCAGCTAAAGTAAGAAGTTGTGATATTTACAAGGAAAAACTGCCCAATAAACCAATCAATTATCCTATAGAAGCTAGAATTAGTCAATTGGCAGATGATACTGTTATGTATGTTGGAAGCGAAAATAGTCTTAATGTTGCTCTCGACATAGTTGAATCATTCTGCAAAATATCAGGCATTTTGGATCGGAAAATGGAAAGATAGTGTAGATGAACCACTGGAGATATGCTGGGTGAAACATCCAATAAAAATTCTAAGAATCTATGTCGGATATGACTCGCAGTCATGTACCAATAAAAACCGGAACGACAAATTGTTAGATTCTGAACAAACGCTAAAAGTGTGGCGCTTAAGAAATCTTTCTCTGTATGATGAAGTTAAATATTAAAGAGTCTAGCCCTTTCAAAATTAACAATGCCGCAAACATAATAAATGTACCAAAATATGTTATTACAAAGGTCACAAGTTTAATTTATGATTTTATATGGAATAAAAAAAAGTGAAAAGATAAAGAGGAAAAAAAAGATGACAGTAAAACATTTGCATATTAGATGAAAGCATATCTTGGCATCTAATAAATATGACATGACCTGTAGGCACGGTACCATTTATTCATAGACGAATGGGGAAATACCTTCCCAAATAAAAGTCGTCCAACCTCGATTGTTTTGAACCTTTAAAACATATTTGAAAAGACTACTATCATAAGGCCAGTACTCTCCATGGTCTGAGAGTATGATGCACTATAACATTCACTTCGTCATTGCATTGTAGTGGCTTCTGGCTCAGGCTTTAATTCCGCTGCTTTAGCATCCTACTCGTCTTCCAATCTGTCAATTCCATTGTTTTCAACGTTCAACTCACTGCTTTAAGTGACCCAATAATTGTTTGTAAATTTCCATACCCCTCATCTGTTTGTTTTCCATATAACTTTCAAGTACTTCAGTTAACCAACAGAGTTGAACCACTTCATTTCTTTAAAAAAAGTACCCCATACTGAACAAACCATCTCACTGGATTAGTTGTCAAGAAAATATGCCCGGCCAAGACCACCTCCATTTGTTCATATTCCGCATTTTTCAATCTCCTGGCGGCGACGACGACAATTACCCCGACGAGAGACACCTCAAAAGTCTGTAGAAGTTTGAAGTCAGTGTTTACCAATTTGTTGATGTGATTAAAAATATGCTGAAAAGATGATATAAAACTGCCTGATAATGTCCATATGGATGATTACCAAACCCCTAGCTTCACTCTGTCTTGCATGAAGGAGGGTTGTCATAATAATGTACCACCATAATAATTATTATGGGCATTCCAAAGTATTTGGTCAGTGAGGTTTAAATTGAATTTTTAACTTTTATAACAAATAGGAATAGTATGAAAATCTCAATAGGAACAAATTTTGTTTAAAATATTTTTGGGGGTTTAAAAACACTTTTTTGGGGCAAGACTACTGTAATTTTCATATCATTTTGCTCAGTCCTTGACAAAATAATGATAATGACTTTGAAAATTTGTGTATTTTCATGAAATGTGAACTTATTTTTTTTTAACAAGGCTGCATTATATCTTGAACAATACTCTTTGTAAATAAATAAAAATTAATTTAATTCCATAATTATAATAAAAAATATATATAATTATAATATAATATAATTCCATAATTATAATAAAAAATATATTTTTACCAAATGGACGAATGCCCACAAAATACATTT